GGTCAGACGCGTTTTATTGAACGTTATTCACAATTTTATGTATGTTATTGCATCAACTTAGGACTATAAAATAAACTAGATATAGTCAAAAATTAAGACTAACAATAAAGACGATTTATATGCATACACCATCCTGGCAAACATAAGAATTGGAAGCGTATTGAAAAAAAAATAATGTAAATAGGACGTTTTCAAGTAACGAACAGATACAATACACATATTATTATTATTGTATAATATATTAAATTTAAAGTACCTTTGACAATCATTTACATAACATGGAACTTTTACATACATGTAGAGGGCGCTATACCCACTTCAGAAATATTTTCAGGCATTTGAACCGATTAAACAACAACGACTACAACTATTTTCAACATTTTGGTTTGTGCATTACTTAATGAAATGGTCGACTTGGACGACAAAATAAATATTTTTTAATTAACATTACTCTTTGCTTACGAACACCTGTCTCTTATACACATCTAGATGTGTATAAGAGACAGGTGTCGATATGCAATGCGGATTATACAGTATTTGGAATCATTTACGATTTAAATAAAAATGAATTCTAGAGTTAACATCAAGATCAAACATCAGGTTTAAATGAAAATTCACTTGATTATAGAGGCAATTTTATATACTTTCCCTTTTTCATAAATATAACTATATATACACAATGCCAATCAACTTCAAAATGCCAATCATTGTTTGCTATACAATTAATTTAATTATCATAAATTGGCAACACAAATTGTATACTTTAAAAAATGTACCAATCGAATATAAATACTGTAGTATATAATCGAATATAAATAGTAGGCCTATCTATACAGTAATAACAAATAATATTGTTTATAAAGTCACAATATGATTAAAACAACAATGTAGCATAGCAATAATAATAAACCAATTATGAAAATCATAACCATAATATTTGTATTCATATCATATTAATAATAAATAATTAAAATATAGATAACCCTGAACAATTCAAGTAAAATAATAAATAGGCATAGCTAATTTAAAAGAAAAAATTAAATACTACTGGTTATATGATGTTGTTTTCAAATTTACACACCTTATACTACAATACTTAAAACTGATTATCAACCAATTTATTGTTCTATTCAAAAAAAATAATTATTTGTTCATCAGTTCTCTAAAAACCTAATTTTGAACAGAAATCTAAAAACTTCAATATACAAAGTAAGTATTCTAATTATGTTAGCTTCACACACAGACAATAAATATTTAAAAGAAACCATTATTATAATAATGACCAATAAGAATAAAATAAATATTGATTAATTAAATAAATAAACTGTACAAACCTAATAAAAAATATATACCCAAATGATACCAGTATTTTTATAATTATTAATACTTCAATGCCTGTAACTGTACAAACATGATCACACCAAAAATGTTACAAAGAATTTTTAGTTAATTAAACAATAATTGTCATTAAGACCATGTAAAAAATAATTGTTGATTAACTATTTTTGATCAAAATCTTTAATAGTGAGAGTTTATAAATTATTTTCTAAAACCAGAACACAGTCTAATTATTATCTTATTTATTAAACGTAATTATCATTGAACATCCAATCATAAATATTCATGATCTCACAATATTACAAATAAAAAATGAACTCTTTACTTGGAGTAATTATTAACAATAGCACCAAGGATAAATCAATGCATTGCCTGGATATAATCAAGTTTGTGATGGCTTAATTTAACCAGGCAGTAACCATACCTTCATCTCAATATCCCCATGTCATGGCTTTTGATGTTAATATCACCATGGAGATGGGATGATGTCAATATTGCCATGGGAATGGATTGATTCCATATCACCATGGTAATGACTTAATGTAAAAATATATACATTGGTCTTGCACAGTGTAAGACAGTTTTTTTTTGACATTCTGAAAACAACCATGTAAATGAGGTAAAGATAGTATTCCAGACGGCCATTAGAATCTTGCAATTCTAAAGCAGTGTGAGACTGTAGATTAACTACCATGATTTGAGAGATGATATTTCCAGAAGTCACAATTTGCGGAGTGTCTCCGGGAAATCGGGACAGCCTCTCGAATTCCAGCAAGCAAGCAAGAATCTTCCAGAAAATAACCAATTTCCCACAAATTCATTTTAATTGCATGTTTTCACTGCTTCACTATAAATTGCCTCATAAGTCAGTGCCGATGGGTATCACTATGTGTAGCAAAATGGAATTAGATGATTTAAGAACTAATTGAACCAGAAATGACTTCTTCAATCTTGGGAACCCTGTATTTTATGGTCTAGAGATCTGGCATGGCCTCAGAAGTCAGCATCCCATCCAGATAGTTCCTCTGATGGAATATCTCTGTCCTTCGGAAACTGATCAAAGTTACTGGTGTCTGTGCAGCCATTCAGCTAAAAAGAAACAAACATACAACACATTTATTCTAATCACATAGACAAAAGTCAAACCATGGGCCTACAATTTGCAGAGCCGTAGATAGAGAGAGTTTGCCAACTCTGTTTCACGGGATTTGATATATGCACGTGTGATTGGGTGGATCGCAATCACATGACTTACACCGGCCATGTTGTCACCAAAACAAAACATTAAACCTAACCGCGCGCATGCGTCTGGGCTGTTTGGTAACGACATGGCGTCCATGCGCCAAGTTGGCCAAACTCTCTATATCTATGGCTCTGACAATTTGATAGTTAGAGCTCCCTCTATGATAAGATATATTTATAACTTCAAATGAGAATAAAGCAATTTGTAGTTTGAACCATATTGGGGTCAATTGACATCAACAAACATAAAACAGAGTTATATGTTGATTCACCTTGGATACAGGCATGAACATTTCAAACTATGTATTGGCCTGTTATGAGCAATAATTATTGTTACACCATGAGTGTCATGTGATCACTATTACCTTTGGAATTATAGGTGGTACAACTCTCTGCATTTTTAAACCTTCCCAATCAAAGCCCTGGAACCATCTAGAAATAAAGAAAACCAATGAATTAGAGCCACAGTGAATGGTGTCATTCTCACACCACCACAATGCTATCCATTGTTTAGTGTATTTAAATACTGTTGAAATGTGAAAACATAATAATAATAATTCATTAATTCATTAATTTAAAACAATATTTAAAGATTGTGGTTCATCCAGCAAGGTTGATCAACTTAATAACAATAAAATTTGATAAAACCATGGAAGAAAATAGGTAAATAGCATAAAATAGATATGAACTATTTAAAAAATGATAGAAATAACATTAATAACAATACTACAAAAATAACGATAAAAAAAAGAATAATAATAAGAATAATAATAATAATAATAATAATAATAATAATAATAATAATAATAATAATAATAATAATAATAATAATAATAATAATAATATGCGCTAAGTCAGACTTAAGGGGAATATCTTTTGTGTTTTTTTCCCCTTAACATTGTTTTTTCAAATGCTCTCTAATTTCTCTATTGTCCAAGTTCCCCTTAAGGTAAGTTTTAATAACATAGACCTAATAATAAAATTAATAAAAAATACCATCTTCATATTATATTTAGGATGCACAACATGCTGTAGCTTTTACACACTTTGTTCTGGAATATTCTGTATCTTTTCTTATTAATTTCCACAGACTGAGTGTTTTATTTGCTGTTAACTAAATTAAGAAATGCCACTTTCTGCTGTTGCTAGGCAATATTCAATACAATTAAGTTGATTACTTAAGTAATAAGCAGTTCAGTGTCTATGTTGAGAAAAAATCACACGGCTTGAACTGCATTTTCCTAGTGTTCAAGATTCAAGATTTTATTTGCTGAAAAAGCCAACAAATGGTAATATCTGCATAATATTACAAGACACACAAATGATCATTATTTACAAATATTTTGTTCACCTTTAGGAATTACAGTAGTAGCCAAATACAGCAAACAAATCTTACAATTTATTTAATTAATAAAAATCATGCAGAGTATGATACACATCGTAAGATTTCTGCTTATACTCCCTCACTTTCGGTATAGACATGCACAATTAAAACTACATGATGACTTATTAACAGGAGGTCACGGAGGGTCATTGCCTCTCGCTGTTGGACATGTATGGACCCCAGTCGTTGGACAGAAATATTAAATTGCCGATCTAAACAAAGTTACTGTGATCATCAATACCTAATATTGTGGTCTAAAGAATAAAATCTCTATAAACATACCACCAAGGATTTTATTTTGGGACCCTGGTTTCCGAGTCCCTGTTGGACTGATTGAACTTCTCTTATTAAAAGCAATATTGTATCAGAATTCCTAGTTATATTTATATATTATTTAAACCATACAGTCTGAGTAATACGTGTCCACAGTACAAATATACAAACAAAAGTAATGATTTTTAGTGTTCAAACAATAAATGTTTTTGATCAATAGACATATAAATTTTTACTTGTGTTTTCTGATGTCATCAATGCCATTCTTTTGGTAGCCTATCCTCTCGGACGGGTTGTCTCGACAGAGTCGTTTGATCAAGATTCCTGCAGTCTTTGTTATTCTCCTTGGAAACTCCACCATATCGATACCTTTTAGAATGATAGTGTAGGTTTTCATTGGGTCGGATCCTGAGAAAGGGGGGCTGGGGGAAAAATTTCAACAAGAAATAAATCAATATCAATTGATGACCATAATATGCAAAATGTCTTGTTATTATCATAAGTTTTATTTTTATCATTATTATATCTATACGGTGTGTTTCAATAATGCACTCATCAGGTCAGTGAGAGTGACCTATATAAAATGTTTTTGGTCAAACTGACTAAGTACATGGTCAGTTTGACCAAGTACATGGTCCATTTGACCTGGTACATGGTTAGTTTGATCAGGTACATGGTTATTCTGAACCAAATACATGGTCAAACAGACCAAGTACACTGTTACTGTAGTTTGAACATGTACCTGGTCAGTTTGACCAGGTTCAGGGCTAGTTTGAACCATGTACCTATCAGTCTGACCACCTGGTTAATTTTAACAAAAAATGTCAAGCAGGGCTTTAGTCCACATAGTATCATAAATGACAGAGCAGGAATTTGGGACTTTGACTATTCTCTGGTTCATGACTAAACTATATCATCTGTGTTTTCAAGGACAAACAGCAAATTAGAAATAAATAGTAACAAATGTACATACTATCCAGTTAGGAGTTCATATATGAGAATGCCAAGAGACCAGTAATCAGCCGAGACGTCATGACCTTTGTTAAGAATGATCTCCGGTGCAACGTATTCAGGTGTCCCGCAAAATGTCCATGTTTTCCGTCCGAAACCGATTTTTTTTGCAAAACCGAAATCAACCTGTTTGAAGAAGATATCAAGAGAATGTGTGAATTTATACAACGGGAATAGCAATAGTGTATTAGTAGTCAAGCCAAAAAAAAAAACAAACATTAAGCCACTGCCAAGAATGCCTGTACAGTAGGTAAACCAACAGTGACTCGAGTGAGCAAAGTAAAAAAAAAAAACTCATTATACAGCCATAGCCTGAATGTGGTTGAAAAAAATATGCCTCCATGGAAGTGTGCAATGCCTCTGACCACAAGTTGCAGACATTTTCAGCCTTATTAGGGCATTCAGTACTTACCAGTTTACAGTACCCTCTTGTATCAAGCAGCAAATTCTCAGGTTTTAGGTCTCTATAAATGATTCCTTTCCCATGAAGATAGGAAAATGCCTCAACAACACATCCAGTATAGAACTTGGAAGTAAAGTCATCAAATGAAGATCTATAAATTAAGCAAAACACCAAATGAAGCTCTATCAATTTATGTGACAAACACCTGTGATTTGCCCATACACGGGTATTATATGACATAATCATGCCCTTATATGGATATGATATGACATCATCATGCCCATATATAGGTATGATATGACATCATCATGTCCATATATGGGTATAATATATCATTGCCATGCCCATATATGGATGTAACTTTGCCCATGTGATATACTGGAAATTTACACAAATTTGTATATTATTACAATGTCTTTGTATAATATTACAAAGACATTGTGCACTTATTAGGATAATGATGAACAACTATGTTTCAGGTGATGCTGATAGCAACCGTGATGAATTCAGATGCAAGACCTGAAGGGATGATGAAGGAAATGTGCTAAAAATAAACCATTCATTATATTAAGTGTTTATAGCCGTGTCTCCTCGTAAGACTTTAAATAAAGTGAATTTGGACAAAGTAATCCTTATTGACATACACTGCAGCAGCTACCTCATAAGCAATAGGTTCATCTGCAATATTATTTTCTATTTTTTTATTGTCGCTGTCCTGCTGACTTCTCTGTCCTCATCTTTGTCTCCACTCCATTACTACAATAAATTACCTGTCTAGTGGGATGTTTTATCAGTAATAATGTATAATTTTTTATTCTGCCTTATCCAGGGGTGGTGCCGGAGTTTGCCCAACAGGGGGGGGGGGGGTTGGCCATATCCATGACTTACCTATCTCTCAAGATAGTCCATAGTTCACCTCCTAGGCATGCCTCTATCAGCATATACACATATCTATTATCTTTGTATGTTTTGTAAAGTCTGAAATAAACATACCAATGGTTTAAAGACATGAAAAATATAATATTGCATTAGTATGATATATATTAAATAAAGAATTCTGTCTAAATATATTTTCTATAGTAGCATGGTTAAATGCTAGGTCACAAAATTATGTGAAAAACATGTTAATACCATGAGGGCATCATGTGATTTATCATGTGAAACTGCCACATCAGCCTCTTCACACGAGAGGTATAAGTTTAAAAAATTCAGGTAATGTATTTTGGTTGTTATAATCCAATACATAATGAGCCTGCTAACGATCTTGATTAATTACTCTGACCTGACCCAGTGAAGGTCAAGCTATAGATTAGATAAAAGGTTTTTATTTATGATAAATTATGAGAAGCAGGTATGGCTACTGTTGCAACGAACAATGTGATTATTTCTGTAGCATGCAATAAAACCCTGAAGAAGAGAATTGTGCAATATTAAAACAAAGTAGAATAAAAAATATTTATAACAAGGGGTCATCTGAACTCATACATGTACAGTATATATGCTCCACCTCCCTCATTTTGCTCATATACAACTTTGAACAAATGGCTGTGATAGTGATGAGGCCATCAACGACAGTCCTCCAACATGCCTACTGCAGCTTTATATCATCCAGTGACAGCAAAACCGTGAGAGACCGAATATGTACACTATTCCTCTCCAAACTACAACAATTTGCAGGCTTCCATTCAGATGTAGCATCATAATGGTAATATAATATGTCGTTTCAAACATCCATTCTATTTGCTGACTGGTGTTTATCAGCATTAATCAGCCTATCAAAATTTTGTATGGTAATAATATAGTAATTTACGGATAATGAAAATTGTAGTATTAGCATACCTATATGAAATTGGAAACACAAGACTTACTTAGAAATGAAGGGAGATTTACAAGCCATCATAATGTTCTTCTCTGAGTAAACATGGTCTTGTTGCCTTGTCTCAACAATGTGGCTCTTTTTAAGACATTTCAGTGCATACGTCTTCTTGTCATTAATGTTTTGTACCTAAAATAAAGACAATTAAGAAATGCACTCATTTACATAGTTAAAAAAAAGTTAAAAAAATACATTAAATATATATGACAAAGGTGGTATTAATATTTGCAGGTTACTAGATGTATCCTTGAGCATACTATAAGGGATGTAGGTAAAAATGGCTCCGGTAAAAATGGCCCTGGAAAAAAGGGCCCAGGAAAAAATGGCCCCGGTAAAAATGGCCCCAGTAAAAATGGCCCCAAAGGTAAGTAGGTAAAAATGGCCCCAATGAAAAAATTCAGTAATAGAAATGATAATTTTTTTTTAATCTTCAAATATTTAAATACTGTAATAAGCAAGAATTGAATCAATAAATAAAAAATGGCCCTCAATTATGAAATTCAAAAAAACAAGTTAAAAATCGTAAATTATAAATAAGTTTTATTTTTTCCTTTGAAAATAAGATCAATTTATGTGATTTTTAAAAACAATTTCTCTAAAAGTATTTGTTTTTTAACAAATACAGTTACACAACAGATGAAAATAATGTACTGAGAGATTATCAGAAAACAATGGCCATTGAATAACATTTTTTGATAGTAGAAATAAAAGTTTAAAAAACGTTATTTCACTAACAAAGTAGAGGAATGACATACATACAGTACTCCCAACTACCAAAATATGCAACTCATAGATAAACAGAAAATTCACTTTTGTTAAGTATCAAATGAAATAACTTTATATTTTATAAACAATGCAAAAAAACAGTAGTTAAAGCATGTGGATCAATTGTGTGTTTGAATCACAAGTTCATGTATGGAAACAGGGAGAGGCTTAATTTCTCACAAACTTAGCAATAAATGTTCTGCTTAGAGTTACTCAAAGAAGTATTTGTTAATCAAATATTGTTTTTAAAGTAAACTGAATAATTAGGAATACATTTATTTAAGCAACTTATTTAATTGCATACTTGGTTTTTACTCCCCGCCAACTAAATTTAAATGCCTAAAACTAAACTAAATAATGCAAACTGAGATACTATACATAGTTATGTAAATATGGCAATTATGCTAAGAATTAAAATGGCGTGTAATTGTGAAGGTAGGGTAATTATGGTAGGATTAAATGGTATTGCTAAATCCCACAAACCTCCCAAAACACACTGTAGAAAACCAAACAATTCAATTGTGATTGACTCACTTGGTATATCAATAAGAAAATTAAAAATTCATAAGAACCTATTTTTTGGTTAAAATGTTGAATTTTTTGGTGAAAAAATACTTGCAAATACACCACAAACTTCCAACACACTGCGAACCCCATCCAAACCCTTTAATTATGATTGTAGAACTCTCTCTTTCTTTAAAAAAAAAAAATAAATTGATGTTTATATCATGGAGGTATTATTGAGAAGGAGATCACTCGAAAAATCTATGCGCACGCAGTGCTATGCAAATGAACCAAGATCAAAGCTGCCGTAGCGCGTGAAGAACGTTTGCGCGATGCCTTTGAAGTCCGATGTGTTCCCCGCCATCAAATTTTCAGCAGGCATAGTTTACCAAAAATTTGACATGGCGAAATGGAGAGCACCTTCTTTTGTCGATGCGCACTACATACAGTCAATCACTATTTCTGCGCAATCATTTCCATTTTGAAGCTGATACATTTATCTCTCATAGAATATCAAACATATTAATATTTTCCACCAAAAAAAGTTTCAAATTTAATGGAACATTCACATGACCTTTAAAAGTATAGTATATTTCAACTTCAATTTTCATAAATTGGCCAAAATTCGCTAATTCTAATTTTAACGATATTAATTAATAAATGATTGAGGATTATAATAAACTAAGTCATTTTAGGGTTAACGAGGGTTAACTATTCGAAAAATCAATCCAAAATCTGAGTATTTTTCAGTTTTACGCTGACTTAGCTTTATAGTCGAACCAGTCAATC